TCAGTTATGTTGTGATGCACCTGAAACCATCTCCTCCCCTATAGATGCCAGTGATCACTGGTCAAGGTTCCTCATTGTCCCATTCAGCAGATCAAATACTAAATAATGAAAACCTTAAGAAAATAGAGCCTTCCTTACTGTTGCTCTGCTTTTTTAAAATGTAATTTTATTACCTTATACAAGACAGTCCATTTTCAAACAAATGTATACGAAATAAAAATGAACTCACTGCTGAAAGAAAAAAGAAGAAAAAACATAACAAATAAAAGCATATAAAAAAGGCCTTCAATTATAAATATCTTCCAAGTTCACCTGATTTTATAAATCTTTGAAAAACTAAACTAAACTTTCAGTATTTCCCCCAGCCTGTTCAATATATTTTTTTTTCCCCAGAAGGACAGATAACGTAACATTTTCTGATTGACAGAACATGTAATTTTCTCAAAAGTTGCTAGATCACACATCTCCATCTTGGATCCCACACATCTCTAAAATCCAATCCTTTATATCTGGAGTTAAAGTATTTTTTTCCATCTCCTAAGAATTATTCTTTTTGTATTGTTGTTGATTTAAGATTGATGGGCTGTGCAGCTCTTTGAATCCACGGGGGAAGAGGTGTTATGGAACATGTCTGGATGTGTACACAGTTCAGATAGTCCTTGTTTAGTGGCAATTGGGACTGGCAACTTGGTCACTAAGGTAGGCGGTTGCTAAGTGAAACCGCAGCTGTGCTTATGATCGTATTTCAGCTTTCCTTTGCTTTACAGACCTGTGAAGGTGGTAAATGCAAGGATTGGTTATAAAGTTACTTTTTAATCACAATCAGAACTGCAAACAGTCACTGTGTGAGGCAGTTGCTAAACAAGCACTACCTGTACTCACCTGCGGTTCTTTAACCAAATTTGTGTTCTCCTGGGATTATGCTGCTATTGGAGAGAGCAACTGTGTGAATCTGGGGAAGGAAGCAGAAAGAACTATGGAGCTGCAGATAAGCACCATCAGAGCACCACCATTTTTTTGAAGTAGAATTCCTTTTGCCTTTGTATCCTGTACAGTGCACAGGACAGCAATGTTTGTATGCATTATGCTAGTCTCACTTTATTACTGCCTTCCCAGCCTCTTTCCATCTCATCTTGTGAATCAGGGATCACAGGGTCTGTAGAAGAATTATTGAAGTGATGCAGAAGCTCCTCCATGTCAGTGGAGAACTGGAGATGGCTGGCCATGTTCCTTTAGATATAAAGAACATGCTGGTTTTCTGGGTTGACTTTCCATATCAAGAAGTAAATGCAAAGGTTTGGTTGTGTTCTTTTTCCAGAGTATCTGCTAGACATCTCAGTGACAGGCATGGTGGTTTTCCATTTACACCATGATGAATTGTGTCCTGTTTAATAGGCAGAATATTTACATACTCCAATAATTTTTACTTGGAATGGTATCCATTGGTGTCTGCAAGAAGGGGGTCAAATACTGAAACATATGTCGTGTGGTGGATTCCTTAAATACTTGCATGCAATATTGTGGTATAAGTAGGAAAGGACAGAGTTGTGTTATGATGTTGCAACATGCATTTCATAGTGACATTGTCATGATTGTGTACAGATGCCTACATATTACACTGTACTGTTTGTAGGACTTCCCTGTGTTACAGGACTGCTGCTCAGGAACACATTTCTGGAAACGTTTCTTTTGTGATAGTCCAAGGGCCTCAAAATTACAGTTGGATCACAAGTAGAACTTGAGTCAGCAGTGTGTCAGGGCTCCAAAAAAAAGGCAAATGTAATTTTAGACTTCTTTTATCAAGCAATGGTTTCCAAGTCAAGGTTTTTGCATTATTCTGTACTAATTATGCTTCATCTCTAGCCCTGCAGCAAATAAGTAGATCAAGTTACCAAGGAGGGCAAATGGAAACATGCTGTGGTATGAAATGGATTCTGTGCAGAAACCATAAAGAACTTCATATGTCTAAACGGGGAAAGTGAAAATCTAAGAGCAGGAAAGGCAAAGAATTCTTCTCTGCACTAGCAGACTAGATGGCTGCCCTTTTTTACCGTGTGTCATGATATAAGGGTGGGGCTTTGATTACATCATTTTGGTAGCCATCTTGACTTTTTTGACCCACCCCATGGACACCCCTGACAGATAAGTAGTCCTTTCAAATATCTCCTCCTTCCAGTTCCATTGGCTGTAAACAGGAAACTATCATTTTTAGCTTTAGTTCAGTTTCATTGCCTTCCATTGTATGAAATAATATGTCTTGTCCATGTTTATGCTTTTGTGTTTACAAGTCATTTTGAGAGCTTTGCTGGGAATAAGCAGTGATAAACCATCATTACAGGTGATTGTAATGCATGATTTGTCCTGAAGACGATTGTTCTTTTTTTGCCCAAGATTGGCCTATGACTTGAAAATCACACTTTGCAGAGAAACAAGGTTACTAGAGGTAGTCCTCACGTAGTGACTGCCTTGTTTAGTGACCATTTGAAGTTATAACAGTTTAAAAAATAGCTTTGTGACCTATCCTCTCATTTACGACTGTCACAGCATCCCACAGTCATATGATCACCTTTCAGGCACTTAGCAACCATCATGTGTTTATAACCATCGCTGGATACCATGGTCACATGATTGCCATTTGTGTGCTTTGCAACTGGCTGGCAACAAGTAGTGTTAAACAGAGAAGGCAAAAGTAAAATCATAATTCTTGGTCACATGATATTTCACTTAATGACCGAATGGGAAGTGAGGTTATAAGCCCATTGCGGTCACGTGATTTTCTGCTTAGCAACCATGGTGCTTAGCAATGGAGTTGCCAGTCCCAATTGTGGTCACTAAGTGAGGACTACCTGTAATGCACCAGATCACAGAAAGTTTAGAGCCAAGGTTAGCTTGGAGTCCAGATCTGAATTTCTGTTAAACTAAATCTTTAAGCCACTTACTTGCATTTGCCCTCAAACCCAACACTAATATCATTGTGATTTGACTCAACTGAGTTCAATGTAAGCTACAGATCTTTTCTACAACACCAAGCAGATTTTTCACCATTCCCATTGTGACGAGTTTCATCCTGTTCTTGTCAAAAGATTGAGGTTTGCTAAGCCTGACACTTAGATACAGTTGCACAACCAGTTGGCATCGTATTCCAAAACTTGACAGCCAAGTTTAATCCTCTGGTGAATGAATTAATATTTCCAACCAGGAGCAATCTGGAAGTGGCAGCCAAAAGATGCTGTTAGACAGTTGTTAACTCAGCCACTCCTTTACAGCAACTTCTAATTGAGAAACTAGTTTCGCAAATGTTTCTTGGGCTGCCTTACTAGCCAACGGGACATGGTTTGTTGGTTTGTTTGCTTGTTCACAATTCATGCCTCTGTACAGGCTACTATTTTGTGATCTCTTTCAGTACAAATAAATGTTGGTTCCATGATTCTGTTCTTACAAAGGAATGTTGTACGATTATTTCCTTCTAATGAAATCTGTTGACATCCCTTTGGGTTCTAACTTAAATCGCTCACATTTTCAACATCATACCATCAGTCATACCCCACAGCCCATCTAAACAATCCTAAACCAGAGTTCTCCATGGTCCTGAGTCAGCAACCTGAGTATCATATTCTTGACTGTACATGATACACAAGAAGAAACAAGAGCAAGGAGAAAAAGAGGCATGTTTTTTATTTGTTCCCAGAGACACAGTAACATTTGAAGCCCTGAATAAATGAAAGGCCATATTATGTCCACGATGGCCACTGAGATACCCATAAACAAGAAATAAATGTGATCAGTAATTTTTATTTTCTCACAATGGCTGGTTAGATTAGCATCTCACTTGTATTGTTCCCCTGCAGTTTGCAGTTGGAGGCATGCTTTTCCCAACTCAGAGATAGCATTGAATTTTAGGACTAAGATATCATGATTTGATCCGATCCCTCTTTGAAGACATCCAGGTGTATGGCCATCTCCACCTCTTGTGGTGGTGGCCACAAGCTAATACATAAGTTTTGCCTTGTTATCAGCAACAATAGGTTAAGTACCATCTTCTCCTTAAGATGCACTTAGCTTAGGGCAGCCATGTTTGATCTGGGTAATCAATTCTCGATGACTGCAGGGGGATCAAAAAAGTCAAGATGGTGACCACAATCATGCAAAGCATGTAAAAAAGGGGCAGGGTTTTGATTGCATGGCTGTGGCTGCCACCTTGATATTTTTGATCCCACCTTTCTGCAGACACTTTGAGTCATTGTTGACTCCTGTCGACTGCCTGGAGAAGTCCCTGCAGTTTTCTTGGCAAGGTTTCAGAAGTGGTTTGCCATTACCTGCTTTCTAGGGCTGAGAGAGAGTGACTGGCCCAAGGTCACCCAGCTGGTTTAATGCCTAAGGTAGGACTAGAACTCATGTTCTCCCAATTTCTAGCCTGATGCCTTAACCACTACACCAAACTGGCACCAAACATTTGTATTTGGAAAAATTAAATGGCCCTTGGCCCATTTTTAGGATTGAATTACAATTTCAGTCTAGTTCCATGGTCCCTGAGCATATTGGAAACTAAACCTGGGTGTGACTTTAATTTGCTTTTTCTACCACCAATGGAAACCTTTTGAGATGCTTCATTTAATGTTGTAGATAGTTTTCTAGCAGACACACACATATATTTTTATATTTCTCTTCTGGAAAACAAAATTTGCTTCTTGTTCTCACTGTTCCATTTTCTTGAGCAACTTTGACCACTAAATGATAAACTTCTTGAAGCATTTCTTCCACATTTGTGGTTAGGCTTTCCTGTTTAATTGTATGGTTACACAAAAGTTTCTATCCAAATGGCACATTCAGTTGCAAACTTGGCACTTTTTAAATTGTGATTCAGGGGATATCCCTCTCTCGTTTCAGCTGCTACAAATTTAGAAAATGGGCCGGTATCAAAGAAATAAGTTGCTAAAAAATCTGCCTCTCCCCACAGGATATGCTTTCACTTTTTCCTCTTGCTCCTTCACTTTCTGCAGACCAAGAATTATTTTCGGGCATGTATATTGATTTCATGGGGACTGACGCTGCCATTTTTCGCAGCTTAACCAGGCGGAATGCAGTGAGGACCGATCAACACAACTCTAAATGGCTAAGTGGTAAGAGGATCTATTTCACACTCTGTTGACTTTGCTCCCAAAGAAAGGATAAAAAGATTGACTTCCTGTGAAAGTCATTGGCTTGGGCAGAATATTTTATCAAGTACATCAGGAAAAAAACTGATGCTAGAAATTAATAGGCACCACAGTCCTGGCACAAGAGGTTGTTGGTTTATAGAGTTGCAAGCAAAGGACCTTGAGCCTTTGAATCTGCAGCACCGCAAAGTCTTGCTAGAATTACATCAAATTTTCCTTTGTATGAAGAGTTCAGAAAATATTTAAAACAAGAGAAGTCAGTTCAGGCAATGTGTGTGTGTGTGGAGAGAGAGAGAGAGAGAGTGTGTAAATAGAGAGAAAGAGAGACAGACAGGCAGAAGACACACAGACAGACAGACAGACGTGGGTGTCTGCAGGGTATGTTAAAAAAAAGTCAAGACGGCAGCCCAAACTATACCACTGCGACATGTTGTGCGTACAAAATGGGCAGAGCTTTGAAGGCACCATCATGGCTTCCATCTTGACTTTTTTTTACCATACCTTGCAGACACCATGGACCAATGATGTTCTGGTAAATGTTTAACAACCTATTGTGCTGGCTCCATTCCTCTTCCGTGCCATGCTACCAGCTGCCGAACAACTGATCAGCAAGCTAGTAGTAGTGGCTCAGCTCTGTTCTCAATTGGCTCACAAAATTCCAGAAAATTTAACAATTGGCTCTCACAAACTGATGCAAGCTAGCTGCAGCATGTCATTGCCCTGGGCCTAAATTTTTACTCTTCCCCCTACTATCATATCATTCTGGCTTAAATTGTGATTTCTGATTTAGAACTGGAATCTGCCTTAAAAGAGGAAGGGAGGGACGGAGGAAGGACATATGGAATGTTCCTGTTGAAGGTTTGGGCCAGCAAGTCATACCTTTTTCAAGGATCCTCCATTCCTTTTAAAGTTTTTCCTCCCCCCCCCCCAAAAAAGGCCGAACACTGAGCATTTTGTGGCTATAGGAAATGTTAAGTTCTCATTGGACTGTTTTCCCACACTCACCTTTCAGAGAGATATTAGAGCTGACTCTCAGGGTTAAAATCTAGAGAGCACTATGCTGTGGGGTTAGCAGCAAAAATCAGCACCAGTTTTTTATATCAGAACTCATTCAAGCTAACTTTGCTTACTTTAGTATCCTTATTTGTTTAAAAAAATATGAATTTTATAGTCAGGTGGTAGCCAGACAGAGACATGTCTGGATACAGATAAAACAATAAAAGGACTATCTGTAACTTGAAAACAGATTGTCCTTTTCTCCAACCACAAAAAGGAATGTGTCAAATGTGTTTAGCATCAGGGCAGGAGAAAGAAACTCCATTGTATAGACAATGCTATGATTTAAATGAGTTTAAAATCCACATCTGGCCATCTTCAGAGTATTTACACAAATGCATGGAGAACTTCTAAGTTCCATAATGGGAAAGAAGAGAAGGTCCTGGTTGATTGCAGAGGTCCGGTTTGTTAAGCTGTGGTCACAGCACTTAGAGTGATGTTCTCGTTGGTGTGCTTCTTTGTGTTATTTTAGAGCCCACATTTGTGGATGCCCATCTCATCCCAGATGGCACTGACCCTAATGATGCTAAGGTGTACTTCTTCTTCAAAGAGAAGCTGACGGACAACAGTGGCACAACCAAGCAGATCCACTCCATGATTGCCAGAATATGCCCCGTAAGCAAAGATGTGCTTTATATTAGAACAGCTAGAAATCTAAAGTTATGATGTAGTTCTGTTAAATGTGAGTTAAAATAGGGCTCAGGGACAGACCGAACAAGGGAAGCCATAAGTAGATTGTGCCTGATTATGCCAAATGTATCTGCAATGTAGTGTTGATCTGAGTAGCAATCATGTTTATGTGCCTTTTTGCAGCTAGCTCTGTGTATAGCAGTTCTGCTTTGGATCACAAGATATGATTGGAGGGAGTAGCAACACCATACAAAGATATTTGGAAACAGCAAGAAGTAGAGATATGTTTGCAGTTTCTTTGTAGAGCAATAGTGATACCCCTTTGTGGAATAATAGTTGCACTCAGTTTTCAACCATTTCTATCTTCTGGGCATGGACTTGGCCAGACACTATTATTATTCCAACTTGTAGGAAAGAGTTCTTCCTTATTTTTCCTATAGATGCATCATTAAAGTAATAATTTGTCTGTTTAACCTTAGCTTTAGGGACTCACTGGAAATACTATAAATGTAACAGTAAGATGCATTTATTCCATGTAGGAAACTTCAACATTCTACATAAGTGCTAGACGTTTTGGTCTATTATGTTTCCTTTTGACTGGAGACAGAAAACCACTGGGAGACCAGATCTACAATGCATAATGTAGTTCTGTATATACTGTATTGTGGCAGAAGAACCATCATACGTAGCATATTTTCCTTGAATATTTGAATCCCTTTTGTACATGAGATAGTTGAGGTGATGAGAATTGTAATGCAATGATGGTGACATTAATGCTACTATACTGCACTGTTATCGCTGATTTATTTTGGACTAGAAGAGTTCAAGCCAAGATGTCCATCTAATTTTTCATAGTCTATCACTCGTTCCAACTCTTCATTTGAAACTGGAAATCTCTGGATGCCAGTAACAATCACAACTCTTTTACTGGACCTGGGACTTTCTGTCTAAGTCAAGAATTAATATGTCAGATCTAGCCCAAGAACAACGAGGCAATCCAGCCCGGTATAGTTCCTTTATTAGCTTGCACCTAATAGACAGAATCTTGCCAGACTAAACCTATTCCAAAGCAACTAGTGGATATTCCCTGTGAGACTGTAGGGAGGGGCTAGTCTCATCCTCTTCATCTTCTCATGGTCTTGCTGTGGGCTGAGAAAGCGCTTCCTCTGGAATGCTCCCCCTCCCTCCTCGCACATGCCTTCCATTACATAATATTTGGTTTTCACCTCCAGGAGCAGAAGAACTTAAAAGTAGAAACCACATTACTAAAACCTGGTCCAATGCAGTAGTGGTAGAAACCATAAGCAGTGTCCTGCTAATGCAAAAATGCTGGAGATGGACATTTTATTATTTCATCCAGCTGCACAGTAATAATCATGTATTATTACTTATAAAAGGTCTTCCTGCTATATAATTAAAGGAAAACCAAATGTTTAAATATAAAAACCTTCACCACTCTAAATCTTGGCATCTCCTTTGCATATCAAGCACATGATCTAACATTCTGATGAGTTTGGTTTGCTCATTTGCATGGGATGAGCAACAGAACAGATCCTTTGTGCTTTTTAAAAATTTTGTTTTGTTTTTAAGTTGATTAATTTTTGTCAAAACATTGACTTGTGACCTAGACTAAAAAAACTGTTATTTTTTTATTATAAATTTTTGATAAAGTGCCCAGAGATGTTTTTCAGAAGATACTAAATATGATTAAGCCATTGTTGTTCTAATGGAGCCCGGATGATTTCTTAGAAGATTTGGGGCACATTTCTCCTTGAATCATCTATGCCAAAACTTGAAAAATAAGCTTCAAAAGATTATGAGCTGAATATGTGTGTTGTATTTCTGATGACATTATTAGAACTTGGCATCAATAATCTCTTTCAAAGAGTTGGCTGAAAACCAATATTACTTAATGTGCCTATTTCTGCACAGGAAAATGGGAGAGGTTTGAATTCAAATTTCACATTTCAGAACCACTATATGAACACAAATTTAATTATCACTTTGCAATTCAATTTGGCAGTACTGTAAATTAAAAAACAAAGATGGAGAAAAATACAGTAGCAACAAATCTAGGCAAAATTGCACATATTTGTGAAAATAGGTATAAAATGTATTTATATTAGAGAAAACTATTTGCAAAAGAGGTGATTGTTCAGAAGAATTAAAAAACACAAATGCATAAGCTTAGAGAAATCAGCTATAAAGTAACCATTTTAATACAATTTTGTTAAAGAAAACCCTCAAGGTACCCAGACTGGAACTTTATAGATTCCCCAAATGGAGAAAGAAAGAATTTGAAATCAACCTTTGTTAGCAGGATGTGAATTGCTTAATTTATTTCAGTTGATTGATTATTAAACAACAAAAATACAGATGTCTTTTCTACACTAGTGTCATATCAGTTTGCAGGTGGCAATTAGATATTTGAAATTTGCCCAAACAAAATCTTCTTCCTAATGTGTTATTTTCCTATGTACAGGGCATAAAGCTATGTACATTAATTTCCAGCCTATAATAAATCTGTACTCATCTAGATAGGGGGTAATCTTGGAAGGTTGTACCATATTTTTCTACTGCCTGTGTTATTTGACTTTAAAAAGTTTTCTTCAGCAAGGAATCTTGTACCTCGCTTCAATCTCTAATTTGTTTAATTGATCAGTAAGCAAATCTATGTTTCATAATTTAATTCCATATAAAGTATAGTGGGGATTATCTTGAAGTGAAGTAACATATATGTCCAAAACTTAAACAAATCAGAATGTGACATGATGCATCCAAAAAGGAAGAATAGACAGGGAAAAATAAATAATGGTGGACAAAAATCATGTACAATGCTAACTTCTCCAATAGAAACGGGCCTGATAATTCTCCCTGCCCTCCCCACCCCTGTATACGGACAATAAATCTGTGCTTGTAAAACAATTATGTATGTGGGGTGCCAGATTCTTTCATGTAAATACAACCTACCTTTCCACTGGAAATGCCAGTGAAGACATGCCAGGGACAGCCATGTCAGCCTTCCCAAATATGTGGTTGCTTTAGCATTTTGAGAGGTGTTTGTACATGCTAATGTACTTTGCAAAACACTTCATTTTTAAAAAATTAGTCCTAATCCCTGCCAGAAACCACACTTCCACCACCACCACCACCTTCCCACAAAAGAAAAAGAGTTGAAGGAAATATTTGTTTAAATTAACTCCCTCTAAAGCTTAATGACGCTGAAAGTTGCTGGCCAGAAATGGTCAACGCTTCGGTGGTTCGAGTCCAGCCTTCGCATTAAACAGGGTGAGCTCC